ACCAGGGCCCCCCTTGGAGTCACCAGGAACAATGGCCACAAGCTGAGGGAGGATAGGTTTAGGTTAGATATTAGGAAGAACTACTTCACTGTAAGGGTGGCCAGAGCCTGGAATAGGCTTCCCAGAGAGGTGGTGCTCTCACCTTCCCTGGAAATCTTCAAGAGGAGACTGGACAGGCACCTGGCTGGGGTCTTATGACCCCTGCCACCCCCAGTGCTCCTTCCTGCCCGTGGCAAGGGGTCGGACTCGATGATCTGTCCAGGTCCCTCCTGACTCATTGATTCTATGAGTCTATGATTCCAAGCCATGCTGGATGTGAGGGATATGATACTGTAAGTGCCCCACACTCTCTCCTGTGGGAGAGCAGGGTACTTTGTACCTTTCCATTAGCAGTTTTACAGATTGAGAAATCTTTGGATTCGCAATTCACTCTGCATTATTTTTTTACTACATCCAAAGGGCAAAGTCTATCTCTGGATACAATCAAAATGGGTTAAGGGCATTCTAGTCCTAAAGACTAAGGTCAGATCCTCATTACCTTTCATACAAAACTAGTTCCATCAAAATCAATGGGTCTGTATGCTTCAAGATCTGGTCTCAAATAGTTCGTTAGATAGAAAAGCCCTAGTCATTCTAAACTGAATTTGCATGGCTCTTGGAGAAAAGCACAGGTTATTTGGGTCTGTGGTGATTTCTAAAATGATGCCATATACATTTCTTGTCTCCCTCTTTTCAAACAGGGCACACTACTGGACCAAGATTAAATAATGACAAGTTATACAAATTCACCTATTCGACTGAAGTGTTTATCAATAGGGTAAAAGCATCACTGCAGGATAGCGCAGGCTACCGTATTTTGTCTGGTGTGGATGTCAACTTAGTATGGAGAAACCCCAACAATGATGATGATCAGCTGATCAAAATTATGGTAAGCATTTTTTAAGCTAAAGCGTATAATCAGACAAATTACTTAAAACGTTTTACACAGCAGTCTAATTCCACGGTGTGACACACATGGTAGAGACAGCGTTTACCAAAAGTGTGCTACAACAAAACGTTTGAAGCGATGGTTGGGCTCTGGAAAGTTCTAGAAATCTAAGGCAGTGTTAAGTGCCTCTGTTTTCTATAGGTACAAAAGGTGATCCAAGTCAGGGTGGCCAACCTAGAGCATGGGGCTATGAGGGGCATGGGCAGTTTCTGTGTGTGGCATAGGGTAGCTTGGGGATGGGGCAGACTGCACAGTGGCAGATAGAGAGGGAAGAAGAAAGCAAAGTGGCAAATCAGGCAGGGAGCACAGGGGAGGGAACAGAAAGTGGAGAGTACATCCACCAGGGAAGGGGATTGAAGCAGCACTTGGGGAGGGTGTGGGGCTAATCTTCAGCACACCTGCTAAAAAGGCTGGCCTCCACTGATTTAAGTAGTCCCTTGCTATTTTTGAATCCATGATATGTCTTCCATTGTGCTTCTGCAGGCATATCGACACGCAACACTTAAAGCGCAGTAGACCAATTCTACTTCTTTTTCCAAGATCTGTCTTTAAGAAGATCTAGCAGCTTTACTGAACAGTTATTTACGTCGGATCAATATTAAAAGTCCCCAGATGACACCAACAAATATATTTTAGCAAGTTCTGTTTAATTCGTTGGATAGGCAGATAGAGCCTGAGAAATGTTTCCTGTTGGCGTGCGCTTCATTATAGAAAATGAGAGTTTCACACACCAGTGAGGTCTGCCATTTTACCTGAGTCGCACCAGCTAAAAGTGGTTGCCTCAGTTGAGCTGTGGGTGAGAGACTGTAACTTCACCAGGACAGGACTGCAACATCACAGACCAGAATTACAAAAGAACTCAGCAACTAACAGCTCCCATGCAGGCACCCAAATAAATCAGCCAAACTTTTCAAATGTGGTCAGTCTTCAGAGGCTCCAGTGAGAATAAAACTAATCAGTTCTCTCAGTGGTGGGTCCTGGCAGGCCTAAAGCTGTGTCCTGGGTCCTGTCTTTCCCAACCACTCAAATTGGTCCATATAAAAGAAACTAGGTGATTTTGTCCATCCAACACCAGATTGCTCCCTGTGTTATCTATTCATTTACTTTGCTTTTACTTTTCTAGATCAGAGATGTTAAAGTTGAAAATGTGAATGAACGTCCAGCAGCCAAAGACATTTTTAAAAGAAAAAACACAGAGAACATCATTGGAAAAGACTATCTGGCAGCTTTACAAAGGCCAGTAGTTCTTCACCTGCTCCGTGGAAAGGTAAGGCCTTGTCTTTAAAGTTCAGCCATATTGCTTGAGGAAACCTATATCAAGTAATTTCTTGTAGACTTCAAAATTTGATGATTCATTATCTGTTTAGGGTTGTCTTATTTTTCCACACAAAATACACTTATTTAGGGCATGACAGATTTGTCCTTACTTGGATTTCCCTGTGGGGAGGATGTATAGAGCCTCCTCAGCCCCTGTTTTCTTGTGTTAAAGGAATGTGCTACAGCTGTATGTAGGTAAACAGTTCATTAGGAAATGTGCCAAAATAATGCGTTCCAGACTATGTAACAAAGGGTATAGTTACACGATACACTTAGCACGCTTTGTATTTAGATCATAGTACGCATTAATGTGACTTAGAAAGTTTTCTGAGAAGTCGCACATTATTGCACACTACAGTCTACATATAGATTGCAATACTACACCAGAGCCTAAAACCAGCACCAGTGTGGTGCAGGGGCTGGGACTGGCTCCCATGTCATGCCAGTGTTGCTTACAGGCCCCCTACTGCACCAGAGGTTTGAATTGGCAAGGCCCTGGTGTGGTGGGTAAGGGAGCCTGACAAAGCGGTTTGTCTGGCTCTCAGCCTCCTTACTATACTGGAGACTTGAACTGGCAAGGCTCTGGTGTAGCTGCAGGGAGCGGGGAAGGGAGCCCAACAAAGCTGTTTGTCAGGCTCCCAGTGCCCCAACCCAGCCACACTGGAGCATGGCTGGTTCAAGGCTCCAGTGTGATAAGGAGGCTGGAAGCCCAATATACAGCTTTGCCAGGCTCCCCTGCGCCCCACCACCACACTGGAGTCCCCTAATCATATTACCTCCGTGGAGCAGTTCAATCATCACATAATAGGTAAGATGATCTGGAAATACTTCTCACTAGAAAAGGCCTAATTTTATTATACTATAATGGCACTTAGCACATGCTTCACTGCTCGAACGCTTGTGTTATGTGTTATAAGTCCAGTTAGCATGTGCTAAGTGTAACATGCAACAATACTCAAAGTTCCTGGGTAGGACCAATGAAGCATATTTTTTTGCATTGTGCATGGCATCTTCTGTATGACTCTACACCTGTTATTAGAGCCAACCAAACTCTATCTCTTGCTCTCTCAGACAACTACTTCCTTTGTTGACTTTACATTAGCACCTACCATCTCCATTGGTTACCAAAAGAATTAGAAAATGTACCTTGATGTGGGAAAAACTAAAATCTTTTGTTTGGTTTCTATAACCATTAAATTTCACCAAGAATCAGGGGGAAAAAAACCTGAAACCAAGAAATGTGTGAGTGAATACGCCTCACATTTCTCTTCCCCCTTGCCCAGACCTGGATCATCCTTTTACAATCTGTCCTACTTATAGGGTAGCTCCACTGCCACAGGAGCACCCAGAGGACAAAGTACAACTAAGAGTGCATGACTGTACTGTGCACATACGGCACCTGGCAGCACCATACTGAAAACCACCACACCTACTCCTTGCACACCAACCCCCAAACTGGAAGTTGTGTAAGTCCTACGGTGGCCTTGACCCAATATGCTTTGAGCATTAAGCCAGCCACGCTACTTCCAGTCTAGAAGGTACCATGTGTGAGATGCGGTGTATTGAAGTACAGCGTTGCTTGGTAGCATAACTGAGTGGTACAGATATTTCCAGAATGCCACTGAGGAGTACTCCTCTTCCATTTCTGTGGAACAACATGCTTTCCTGTGTGTGCCTACTCAGCTCCCCTGGCCAATGAGCAGGGAGGACAGAGCCAGGGCTACCATCACTTCCTTCCTCACCATTCTCTCCCCAACCACTTCCTTACTGTAGAAGGTATCAAGTGAGCAGGCCCTTCTCTCCAATCTGCAGCCAGGAACACCTCAAGCAGTGCTCATCAGGCGAAAATATGTGGGGAAGCTGTATGCAGCAGTAGGAAAGGAAGAGAGATAGGAGTCACTCCCTTTTACTCTCCAATACAGTTGAGTAGAGGGTGTGACCATCTGTCCCAATAGGATACCTAAAGCTGTAAATAGGGACCAGCCACACACACTGGCTGTCAGTCTGGCACACCCAGTTACAGATGCCTGCTCAAGAAATTTCAAACCGAGCCCTGTCATCAGATTAACTATGCATAAAAAGAAACAGGACAGCACTGGCTCTCAGCTGTACACATCCCCAAACTAAGATTAAAGTAGCAACATAACACAGTTTAAATACATCTGTGCCCAATATTTTGCCAATGTGTTGGCAGATACCATTGAGATATAGTATTAAAGATGTTTTTTCATACAGTGTGTGGAACTTCTCCATTGCCAATCTGCATGCTGCTTTATTCCCTGTCACAATGATAGTGCCTCCTTACTCATGCCTATTCCAACGCTGCAAGGCTACCACAGAGATAACATACTGATTACACTTACAGTATCTAGGGAAAAGTACAGTTTTACAGCTCCTTAAATGAAGACTGGAGGTGCAAAGTCTTTTGTTCTCAGAAAAAGGCTCCATGGTGGTTCAAAGGTTGCAGCATTCCTGACACGTTATAACAATCTCTCCTACTCTGACTTCCCTATGATTAATTCTGCCTTATTGTGACCTGTAGTTAAAGTACAGTATCTAGTGAATGTATAACAGAATGGAGTATGGAGGGAATAATTACTATGACATGTGAAGCCACAAGGCATTTTAATCCTCATCTTCATAAAGAAGAGTTCTTTAATTTGATCCACTCCTGATGATATATTTAGTTTCCTATTTCACTTCTAGGTTTTCTCTCATTAGTGCACAGGAAGGATATTTATTAAAGCAAGGCTTTAGTTAGCTATTGCCAGACATCATTATCCTCTTGTGTTATGGACTGGATCATATAGTCAGTGGCATTTTGCTTATGGGAGGATACAGGATCAGGTCTGATAATAGGCACAAAGCTGTTTTTTCAGCTGAACTCTGGAAACTAGAAGACAATTTGCAAGGGATATTACACACAGCTTCTCTGAAAACCAGCTACAAGTTTATGATATGTTTGCTTTTTTCTCCACAGGTTAAAAACTTCTACTCATATCAAAATGAACCTGCAGTAATTCAAAATCTCAAGAGAGGTCTGGCTAGCTTGTTTCAGATGCAGCTGCATTCAGGTGCTGTCCGTGAGGTATGGTACTGCCTCCAGCAAAATACTGGTAATCAAATTTATAGGCAGGGACACTGGTGTCCAGAATGCATGCATGACTACCACTGATTTCAAACGTAGTGAAGACCATGGCAGAAGCTGGTCCTTTGTTCACATTTGACCTTGTGGCTGAGAGGTTTATCTGGAGGGCTTTTGCTGACACAGTCTTTGTCTATGTTCCAGGTTGCACTAGTAACCTTATCTGCAATCTTTGTGTGGAAAATCTTTCCTTGATTTAAAACTCCCTTACAAATTTGACTCTTTACTAAGCTATATTAACTTCAGTGATGTTATACTGATATAATTTAAGTTATTTTGATTCAGTTGATTCTTGACAAAACTATATTAAATTGATAAGATAATTTTAAATAAAATTAAGAGATTACATACAACATCAGTGGTGGTTTAACTACATCTATTTAAAATAATATGTTTAGCTATACCAATGATTCTCATTTGACTCAAGTCACCCCTTGGAAAAAACAGCTCTGAGCTTTCACTTGTTTTTTGCTTATGGAAAAATGATACAACAATTTTTTTTGTTGCAAAGAATGCAGAAAGACCACAAGTTAGAATGTTTTTGATACTTTAGGGGTTGTCAACCGGGGGTATGGCTACCCCTAGGGGTACTTGGGAAGGCCCTAGGGGGTATGTACAGGCAGGCGGAGACCGAGCACTGCCACTGCCTCCCAGGAACAGGGCTGAGGTCAGTGGCGAGGGCAGCGGCTCCCCTCTGGCCGGACGGTGGGGGGGAGGTTAGGAGAGCTCCCAAACAGCAGCCACCACTGCCATCCACCACCCTGCACCGCCACTGCTCTGTGTGTGCCACCCCCCTCCCCCACTCTGCTCTGTGTCCAGGTGCTGCCCTGTCTCCTTTCCCCCCGCTCCAGGTCTGGCCACCATGGGTACACTTATTTAAAAAGGGTTGAAAACCCCTGCTTTAGAGTGCAGAAAGAAGTGACAATTTTTGCCTGATCTGGCCCCAGAATGTAGTCTACAGCTGTAACCAAACAAAAGTGCACAGCTGCAGAGGGTTCAAATGAACATGCTCCAGAAAAGAGCACATTCTGTTACTTGTGTCTGTGGAGCTCCCAGGCTGTCACTGTTTTCAAAATGGAAGGGGGAAAGGGAGTGGAGGGAGTTTGGTCTGGGGTTTTTTCAGCTGGTACTTGGGGGTGGGGCGGGTGGATTGGAGACCCCCTGAAGTGGGGGAGCTCCAATCAACTCACCCCACTCTTCAGTGCCAGCTAGGGAACCCGAGGAATGAGCTCCCTCTGCTCCCTTCCCCCCTCCCATTCTGAAAACAGTGTCCTGGCTGGGATGGGGAAGTGGTGTTGCTACAAAGACAAGGCAGCATACTCCCAACAAGCAGCTGGAATCTCCACCTCCCAGATCCATCAGGGAACTTCTGTTGGGTCTGGGGGATCATTGCAACTCATAGTGCTTCCTGCAAAGTGCTGTGAGTTGTAGCAGGAAGCTGCTATTCTGGCTAAGAATCAGTTGAGCTACATTCATGCCATTTTGAACACAGACAGTGCCAGAGTCTTGCCCATATACACACCTGCACAAGCCAGCACAGTGCCATTTGAGTCCATTGGGTGCCTATACATGTGCTTGGCGGGGAGGGGGGGATTTTAATTGGAGCGGTTCCCAAGGAGCCGCTCTAATGATAATGCTGTAATATCACATGCATTAAGCCCCTAAACATTTAAAGATAGCTGCCAGACACTTTAACTAAAGATCATTTAATAAGCTTTAGTTAAAGTGCCCCAGCAACCATTTGTAAACCCATGGAAGCTTATACACATGATGCTGTGGCAAAGCTACTGCATTCATATAGAATGTGGAGCAGACTTGATTGATCAAGTCTGCTCTGATGCATTCTAATTAGAACATGTTGGAGTACTTGTATAGGTACCCCATTGTTTCTACACTCCTCTTTGTTTTATATTTTCATATGTGCCTCAGCACAAATAACCCTTGCCCATCCAAGACTCTAAGTTAAAACAATGTGTACAAATACAGATAAAACCAGCAGCTGCCTTATCTCCAAAACAGTAAATAATCAACTCCAAATGAAAGTCAAGCTGTTCACCCTTTCACACAAGCACCAAAAAGAGGGAATACCAATGACCTTTGGAGTTTGCCCTACAAGTTAATAGATTCTTTCAGGTAATTGTTCCTTTGGATGTTTTTCAGTATCCCATACATATATATGCCATTTCAGAATCCTACAAGTCTGTTAGTAACCTAAGTGAGAGAGAGAAACAAACATCAAAAACAGTATTAGAGCAAAAGAGAAATGTGTGACATTCAAAATACTTTTTTTTTCCATTTTCTAAGGTGGATGTCTCTGGGAAATGCAATGTTACTTACCAGGCTCGACAGGATCAGGTGACTAAGATTAAAGCCGTGGACACCTGTGAAATAGAGAAGACAGGATTTACCAGCTACCACCAGGTATAATATAGCTACTTAAAAAAATACAGGTAGCAGGATTTCAGACGGAGATCTAAAAATTAAGAGTCAGTCATCACTAGTCTTTTATTTGATGTTTGTCCAAATGTTTTGATAGACAGAGGTGAACAATGGAAGGCATTTTAATATACATTATTTATTTCACCTCATCTAAAAGCTGCTTTCATTATACCTTTCCTCAAACAGCATACTTTACTGGAAGACACTGTTACTAGACTGTGTTACCTCACAATACCATATGCATTACTCCAAAAATATAAAACAAGAGGTATATCTCCCAGTTGTGTTACCTATCCTAGCTCAGTGGAAGGCAAAGGCGCCATGAGAATTTACTTGAAGACCTGACTCTTAGGCTAGGGACAGAAGTTACACATAAACTGGTTTAACTGATCAGAATCTGGTTTAAACCTGTAACAGAACAGAAGCTCAGTGCACATAAACCAGTTTCAAAATGGCTGAAACTGATTTAAGATAAACCTGGTTGAATGTAGTATGAGACTTAACTGATTTGGGTCAAAACGGTTTATGAAACTTTTGTTCAAGACCCCTTCCTGATTCAAGTTAAATCACAGACCCCTGGCACCCCAGAATTTTGCAGCCCTGGATTGGGCTGTGCTGTCTTTTCCAGAGAGCAGGGCTGGCCTTGTCCCTCTGCTTCCTAGCCGGAGCAGTGAGGGCTGGCTGACAAGGGAGTAGGAGGGGACAAGCCCAGCTGGGGATGCAGCCCAGTCTGCAAAGGGGGACTGCCCCCCCAGGCAAACCCCGCTGGGGGCTCGGGCTAGGAAAGGGGATTAAACACCCTTCCCTTCGCTCAAGCTTACTGCTGGCTGTGACTGTGGACCACAAATCTCAGAGGCACCTGGAAGCAGGAAAAAAGTGATAAGCAACCCTGCAGAGTCCCACTGCTGTGACTGTGGACTACAAATCCCGGAGACCTCAGGGCCAGCAGGAAGAGGAAGTGAACACACAGCCCATACTGGCTATGTGCCAGACAGCTGTGCTTTAGC